GACCCTTCCTCAGAACAGTTCTGAGGAAGGGTCACCGGACCCGAAACGTTAACTCTGTTTTCTCCTCCACAGATGCTGCTAGACTTGCTGAGCTTTTCCAGCAACTTTGTTTTTGTTCCTGATTTACAGCATCCGCAGTTCTTTTGGTTTTTATTTAGTATCCAACACCATGGGCTTGTATTTAATAAGCAGTCTGATGTGTCGTATCTTAACAGACACCTTTGAAAACACAAATATATTACATTTATTGCATCCCTTTTATTTATCCTGCTTGTTACCTCTTTAAAGAATTATAGTAAATTTGTCAGGTATTATTTCCCCTTCATGAAGCCATGCTGGCTCTGCTTGATCATATTATGTATTTCTAAATGTTCTACTATTACATCTTTAATAGACTCTAACATTTTCCCAATAACAGATGTTAAACTGACCTGTTTTACCTGTTTTTCCATCTGCTTTCATTTGTAAATAAAGGTGTTACATTGGCAGTTTTCTAATCCTCTGGGACTTTTCCAGAAACTACGATTCTGGGAAAATACTAAGAGTACATACACAATTTCTGTCACTACTTACTTTAATATCCTAGATGCATTCCATCAGGTCCAGGGGACTCATCAAACTTTAGTCCTAGACCCTTCTTCAGAAATGGGAGGGGAAGGGGGTTCTGAAATAAATAGGGAGATAGGGGGAGGCGGAAAGAAGATGGATAGAGGAGAAGATAGGTGGAGAGGAGACAGACAGGTCAAAGAGGCGGGGATGGAGCCAGTAAAGGTAAGTGTAGGTGGGGAGGTAGGGAGGGGAGAGGTCAGTCCAGGGAGGATGGACAGATCAAGGGGGCGGGATGAGGTTAGTAAGTAGGAGATGGGGGTGGGGTTTGAGGTGGGAGGAGGGGATAGGTGGGAGGAAGGACGGGTTAGGGAGGTGGGGACGAGCTGGGCTGGTTTTGGGATGCGGTAGGGGGAGGGCAGATTTTGAAGCTTGTGAAGTCCACATTGATACCATTGGGCTGCAGGGTTGCCAAGCGGAATATAAGTTGCTATTCCTGCAACCTTCGGGTGGCATCGTTGTGGCACTGCAGGAGGCCCAGGATGGACATGTCGTCTGACGAATCGGAGGGGGAGTTGAAATGGTTCACGACTGGGAGGTGCAGTTGTTTAGTGCGAACCGAGCGTAGGTGTTCTGCAAAGCGATCTGCAAGCCTCCGCTTGGTTTCCCCGATGTAGAGGAGGCCACAACGGGAACAGCGGATGCAGTATACCACATTAGCAGATGTGCAGGTAAACATCTGCTTGATGTGGAAAGTCTTCTTGGGGCCTGGGATGGGGGTGAGGGGGGAGGTGTAGGGGCAGGTGTAGCACTTCTTGCGGTTGCAGGGAAAAGTGTCAGGTGTGGTGGGGCTGGAGGGAGTGTGGAGCGGACAAGGGAGTCCCAGAGAGAGTTGTCCCTCCGGAAAGCAGATAAGGGTGGGGAGGGAAAAATGTCTTTGGTGGTGGGGTCGGATTGCAGATGGCGGAAGTGTCGGAGGATGATGCGTTGGATCCGGAGGTTGGTGGGGTGGTACGTGAGGACGAGGGGGATTCTGATTTGGTTGTTATTGCAGGGATGGGTGTGAGGGATGAGTTGCGGGAAATGCGGGAGACACGGTCAAGGGCGTTCTCGACCACTGAGGGGGGGAAGTTGCAGTCCTTGAAAAACGAGGACATCTGAGATGTACGGGAGTGGAATGCCTCATCCTGGGAGCAGATGCGGCAGAGGCGAAGGAATTGGGAATAGGGGATGGCATTTTTGCAGGAAAGTGGGTGGGAGGAGGTGTATTCTAGGTAGCTGTGGGAGTCGGTGGGCTTGAAATGGATATCGGTTTCTAGGTGGTTGCCAGAGATGGAAACGGAGAGGTCCAGGAAGGAGAGAGAGGTATTGGTGATGGTCCAGGTGAACTTAAGGTTGGGGGGGGGTGGTGTTGGTGAAGTGGATGAACTGTTCGAGCTCCTCGTGGGAGCACGAGGCAGCGCCGATACAGTCATCAATGTAACGGAGGAAGAGGTGGGGTTTAGGGCCAGTGTAGGTACGCAAGAGGGATTGTTCCATGTAACCTACGAAGAGGCAGGCATAGCTTGGGCCCATGCGGGTACCCATGGCCACCCCCTTTGTCTATAGGAAGTGGGAGGAATTGAAAGAGAAGTTGTTGAGGGCGAGGACGGGTTCGGCTAAGCGGATGAGGGTGTCAGTGGAGGGGGACTGGTCGGGCCTGTGGGACAGGAAGAAGCAGAGGGCCTTTAGGCCATCTGTATGGGGAATGCAGGTGTATAGGGACTGGACGTCCATGGTAAAGATGAGGTGTTGGGGACTGGGGAATTGGAAGTTCTGGAGGAGGTGGAGGGCGTGGGTGGTGTCACGGATGTATGTAGGGAGTTCCGCCCGCTTCTATCTCCTTCCCAAAATCCACAAACCTGACTGCCCTGGTCGACCCATTGTCTCCGCCTGCTCCTGCCCCACCGAATTTATCTCCACCTAGCTGGACTCCACTTTCTCCCCCATGGTCCAGGAACTCCCTACCTACGTCCATTATATTCAAGTGCAAATCATTGCTGTACACCACAGTACAAAGGCCCCAGCACTAAACCTTGCTGAATCACACAGAAAACATACTTTTAATCACAGAAACGCTCACATAGCTGCCTCACAGTAAATTTTGGGCGAAGGCTGTGAATTGGTGAGCAAGGCACGTCGAGCTGAATCTGTGTCCGACTGCACATTAGTAACACCAATTGCTTTCAGTTTGATCTTGTCATGGCTGAGACTGATTAGTCCGTAAGAAAACACTTCCTTCCAACAACAGAGACAACAAGGTGTAGAGCTGGATGAACACAGCAGGCCAAGCAGCATCAGGGGAGCAGGAAGGCTGACGTTTTGGGTCTGAGTCAGGGGTCTGTAAAACCTTAGCCGGAATAATGCCCCGAATGCAGAATCTTTGATCGCGTAATTAGCATTGGCAAGCATTTAAATCAAGAACAATTTTTATGCTTATCTTTATGGATTTGCAAAATACTTCATTTGGTACTGATGAGATCCAAGATGAGAGTTTAACCTCTTTTTTTAAAAAAAAGGATTAAAGGAAAATAAATAAAGATACGTGCAAACATGTGTCTCCCTTTTTTTAAAAGGTTGCCAGAAGATTTCCAATAAACAATTCTGGAAACTGAAACTGAAACTGTGAACAGATGGCGGAATAAGGCGGTGCATGCAGTCGGAATTGTAGACGGGTCCCAAAAAACAAACCCATCGATCGCGTTTCGCAGCTGGACTTCAGGGGTAACGGGGAGGTACTTGCCCTTTTCCAATCCCTCAGGGTGAGAAAAAAACAACTGCTATTCCAGCTGCTTCCCAGCATTTTTCTGAGAGTGCTGGCTGAGACCCAGGATTTCATGTAACAACGCTCAGCAGCGATATCATGGCAAAGGTTTCTATTTCTGAAACGATCTGAAGCTTTAAATCTTAAAAAAACTAACGCGAGTTTTTGCCTTCGATTTTAATTGTAAGCGTCTCCGTTGTACATTGCATTTTACATTTGACGACATTTTTGACAGTATTTCTGAGTTGAAGGTGGCTTCCTTGTTCCTGATCTCCATTACAATGGTGTTAAAGTATTTCTCACTCTTATGAATGTGTGACAAGCCGAAAATTCGAGGGCTCTCTCCTCCGGATGCTTTCAGACCAAATGTGCCTCTAACATTGTCTTGGGTGCACATGCAGAAACTTTAGGGACTTGGCTACTGAGCTTCGCCCCGGCTTAACTTTCGTGTTCCTTTTGACCCACTGTTTCTACCAGAGTTCAGATATCAACATGAGCTCGCTTGGATTGGACAAACTAATTCCACTCAGATGCAGCCTTTTCAGTTTTCTATTTGAATCCCAAACCCAAAGCTGTAAGATTGCTGCCTAACCAACTCTATTAACATATTTTCACCGTGGAAACGTTTTTATCAACTCACATCACGTTTGGTGTAAATTAATATTCATATCAATTGATTTTGCAGCCTTTGAACAAGTATGGAACAAGATGGCAAGCATCTAGCTGCAGAATTTAGTAACTCACATGCTGTAAGTATATCAGCCAAAAGAATGTATTGTGTTAAATCAATTTCAATGAACACAGAATTGTTGTACAATTTGCATTGTAGACATAACCCATTCAATATAGCATATGAAAATCAGAACTTAGAAAAAAATTAAAGCTGCAGAATTTAGTAACTCACATGCTGTAAGTATATCAGCCAAAAGAATGTATTGTGTTAAATCAATTTCAATGAACACAGAATTGTTGTACAATTTGCATTGTAGACATTACCTATTCAACATAGCATATGAAAATCAGAACTTAGAAAAAAATTACAGGCTTCATGCTTGTAAATAACTAACTTACTGGATTTATGGCCAAACAACACTTGTTTTATCTTTCTGCAACTCCAATAGTTCGATTCTACACTTAGCATCACTTGGTATTGAGTTTAAAAGAAAGAGAGTGTATCTCAGAAATACTGCAGAATGTTTCATATGATCAATTACTCGGTAATGGAATGCCTGTTTTATGGCAGCCACTTCATATGTACATACTGGAACGAGATGAATGTCCAGCTAACCTGTTTTGGAATGGATGAAGAGCTTGTCATATGATGAGCGGTTGAGGAATCTGGCCCTCAAATTAGTGGAGTGTAGAAGAATGAGGGGGATCTCATTGAAACTTACAGAATACTGAGAGGCCTGGATAGAGTGGATGCGGAGAAGATGTTACCACTCGTAGGAACGACTAGGACCCGAGGGCACAGCCTCAGACTGAAGTGATGAACTTTTAGAACTGAAGTGAGAAAAAAATTTCACCAGCCAGACAGTGGTGAATCTGCCACAAAGGCTGTGGAGGCCAAGTCATTGAATGTATTTAAGACTGAGATAAGTCTGGTCTTACGGTCTTATAGTGCTGGTTAGGACATTGAAAAGCTCAATAATTTTCTTAAGGTAGCTAACTGGGATATTTAATGTGTATTGAACATATTGACAGAACCTTGATTTAAAATCTAAAGTGTGGTCAAGCTCCCAACAATCCAGAACTTTGTCAGTGCCACACTGAAAGATCAGTCTTGATTTATATGCTGGAACAAACCTTGAACTTACAACCTTCATTTTCAGAGTCAGCAATTTATTTATTGAACACAAATTGATTGTAAATTGGATTAGACATGGAATTATTCATTTACTTTTAAGTATAAAACCTTCTAACAGAACATTGTCCCTATTTCTGAAGATTGAAATGATCAATGGCAATATTGCCATTAAATTTAGTCTAAATATTGTGACATTTTTGTCTTTAGATCTGGAATGTTATCAGTTCTATATAATTTCACCGGGTGATTTAGGGAATAAAGAGAACATTTGATGTAATACAATGCTACGTAGACCAGAAGGTCTTAGGTCCAACGTTGTGTGTAGATATTTTAATCAAACTGTTCAGACACATACAGCAGGTGGTATTTGCAGGCCTTTGACCCAGAAATAGTGACACTACCACTGTGTCATAAGATTTCTACTCCTCACTCCCTCCACCCATTTTAATTGTCTGGATCTGGTGGGACTTGAATCCAGGACATCTGCTCCAAAGATACTACCACTGCACCACAAGAGCAGCCTGCTGAAAATAATCACTGCCGTGTTTTGGATTTGAGCTGAGATTGCTGCGGCCACAACAGAGTTCTAATTCTATATGATCACAGTGCTGCACAGCACTTACTTGATTTTCTGTATATACTTGTTTTCAGCTAGAGCAGAAATTGGTGTTCAACACTTGGTCTTGGGGCTGCAGAAATCAAGTCAGTCTGTACTACTGATCTTCTTTTAGCAAAGGAAAATGTTTTTGCACATATATCTGATATGGTATTCTTCATGATGATTAGGCTGTTGACACTTACTTGTGAACAGCATTCTGCTAGTGGGAATCAGTAGGCTTGCTGGCACCTCTGCAATTGAGCCCCAACAAGGGTTTTCAGGTGAGAGAAAAAGTAGTGTACATCGATGTGGTCAGCATATTAACTATCTATTGTGAAATTCAGATGTTTCTTTATTAATGGTCAGTCAAAGTAAACTTTGCTAAGCAACAATCTACTCCATGTTGTTTAATAATGAGGCTTCCTGAGTATTAAAGCACTTCGCAAATAACATAACCTACAACTATTAGGGAAAAATTATCAAAGACTTGGACATTTAATTGTTCAGTAATTATTGCCATTAAAGTTTCAACAAATATTAGTTTTCTACTTAGAATAATAATTGGTTCTATTAATGTTTCAAATGTAACAAAAAGAATTGGTTGATAAATAAACAAAAGAGAAATTACATGGTATAGTTCTTCATCTTGTCTGCCATTAATCTTTTCCTGATTTGTTTTGTAGGATTTTGAAATTATTCAAGAGAGCATTCAGGACAACATGAGCCTTTACAAAACACTTCAGCAAGCAGAACAAGAGTTAGAATTGTGGCAGGTACAGAACATCTCACAGCACCTCTATGACTTGACCAACTGGCCCTATCTTGTTGTGATTCTAGATTGAACTCCATCTAATCACAAGATCAATTTTATGTGAACTGTTGGTGCACCATTAATAAGAGGAAGAGAAACTTGAGGTTCTCCCAAATAAGGATCAGCCAACTAACTGATTTTATGCATTTGCTGTCATCTTGTCATCACAGCTGACATTACGTTTCTCAGTCACAGTTGCCTTAAATTGTAAATTTCTCTTATGAATTCAATTTATTCTCAAAAATTTATAAATATTAATATTAAGCAAAAAAAATTGCACATTTCCAATATGAATTGGTTGAACTTCAGTTTATTTATGTAAGGTGATTTTTTTTGTGTAATGTCAGAAATCACATGACACCAGGTTATAGTCCAACAGGTTTATTTGAAAACACAAGCTTTTGGAGCCTCACTCCTTCTTCAGGTGTTAGGAGTGAGGCTTCAAAAGATTTTGTTTTCAAATAAACCTGTTGGATTAGAAGCTGGTGTCGTATGATTTCAGACCTTGTCCACCCCATCCAACACCGGCACCTCCACATCATATTTTTTGTGTGGTATTGAACGAAACCAGTATGTTCTTGTGAAACCTTTTCTGAGTTCATAATGAAGACATTATTACACTGTAGTGCCCAACAAAGAAATTTCGTGCATGAACACAATTCAATAGTTATCAACATCTCCCAATTTAAAATCATATAGACAAGAAAGAGGTGATTTAGCCAGTTAATTCCACTTTCCTATTTTTTCTACATAGCCCTACAAATTATTCCTTTTCAATTTATATCAAATATATATCCAGTTTTGTTTTAAAAGTTGTTACTGCATTTGTTTCTCCAAACCTTTCAGGCCGCACATTTCATATTATTGCAACTGATGGCAATGAAAAATAATTAGCACCATTCCTGAAAATAATGCAAGATAAACTAAAACAATTAATAGTGAATATTTTGTGCTGGTAAGAAGGGAAGCCCAGTGAAAGTAACAGTTAAAACAACATTTGACTGGTTTTGTAGCCACCTCGAGGGGCGTGGATAGGGTGAGTAGCCAAGATCTTTTGCCCAGCGTAGGTGAGTCCAAAACTAGAGGGCATAGGTTTAAGGTGAGAGGGGAAAGACATAAAAGGGACTTAAGGGGTATCTTTTTCACGCAGGGGGTGGTGCGAGTATGGAATGAGCTGCCAGAAGAAGTGGTGGCGGCTGGTACAATTACAACATATGAAAAGGCATCTGGATGGATACATGAGTTGCAAGTGTTTTGAGGGATCTGGACCAAATGGTGGCAAATGGGACTAGATTAATTCAGGATATCTGGTTGGCATGGGCCAGTTGGACTGAAAGGTCTTTCTCCATGCTGTACAGCTCTATGACTCTATGACTCAATCCTGAAGCGTACTCAGACTCTGTTTAACTTCATGATAAATTTCACCATTTAGTGCACTTCTACTGTTTGGCCTACTCCCTGATTTAAACTGCGGCTTAGGTCACAGCTTGAGAGTTGCTTCAGAGCCAACATATTCTGAAAAATGTATTCCTACTGCAGTTCTCTGGTTTTATAAAGACCAGGTCACTTCAAATTACTTCTCATGCAGCTCCTAAGTCTCAGCCTCAGTGACTACCTCTGAAATTTAATCTGCAGCATTTGCAGATAAGGAAGGTAGTCAGTCAAACATTTCCTGATCTCTACCTGACTTTGAGGTCCATTCAAGTATCTATATCCCTCTTGCACGTGGCCATAATATACTTTGAGTCCACTGCATGGATAATGAAAAGATGAGATAAAGCTCAAAGGAATACTAACTGTAGCATAAGAGGTGACAATAACACCAATTGCAGCAAGCTGAGGAAGAAACAATTTAAAATATAATGGGTTATGCAGAGGGGATGCTACCTACCTTTAGAAAAGATTGGTATGTGTAACAGCAGAGTTTTGGAAGAACTAGGGAATGATATATTTTACATCGTGAACTTGTCCAATTCTCCAATATTTCTGGGAATAAGTTTTGGAAGTCATTGGAAGAAATTGTGCAAACGTCTGCCCGTGTTGACCATTTTGACCTCTGAGAAGCTCCAGCAGATTGGGGCAATTCATTTTGGTGTTCTTTCTTAATGGTCAACAAATGTACAGTATTCAATTGCTGTGGTGTCTCCATTTCTGCAAAAATTAGTTATTAGCATTCTGGGAATTAGTATTGGTCACTTTAAAATGTGTACTCACTTTATCCTGGCTACGTGAATGGAGTGAAATAGCCCCCTGTTAATATTTAATGAAAATCAATTGGTACAAAAGGTAATTTCAGCTGTTTAATGGAGAATTAGTCATATAAGTTCAAAACAAAACGTTTAAATGTATATATGCATTTTTAAAAAAAATATTGTGGATGTAGAACATTATTTGGAGTTATATAGTGCCTTGTGCTCTTTTTAAGAGTAAAATTGACAACTTAGAAAGAAGAAAATCAGATTTGATCTGTGCAAAACTGGATGCTGAAGAAAAGAAGAAGCAAATTTCTCATAAACTTTGCAAGCTGAATAATGAACATGAGAAGCTCCAGGGAGAGATTCAAAGGACAGGGCAGTCTTTAAAGGTAAGCATGTTTTTTGACTTTTTTTGTTCAGCACATCTTAAAGGTTTGAAAGTTTGGGGTCTGCATTATATTTATTTTGTTTTTAACTACCAACCATGACCAGTAAATTGTCCATTTAGCCAATTGGATATTTACAAGCGAAGCCCATTACAGACAATGCAAATCATCAAAAGTGAGGGAGGGGTAAGGGGAAAGGATTAAATCAAAATAGAGTCAGAGGGGGAAGTAAAGCAGTGTATCCAGTCCCCACCCCCGTACCCACTTCTCCTCAAAGGCATCAAGAGCATTGATGCTCCCTCTCCAAGGATGCCTAGGTGTGAACATAACCATGGATGAGGGGCACAGACATTGGCAGAGATGATCCCCTTCACAGCCCGCTGCCTGGACCTGTTTATTGCCAGGTCCAGGAGCAGATCCACGAGCAGGTCCTCAGATCTGTACATACCCCTCTGCCCCAGATGCCCAAAGCTCAGGAGTGTGGGGCTGAAGTGCAACCAAAAATACAACAAAAGACTTTTCAAATAACTAAAAGAAGGGGAGCATTCGCCCACAACCCGTATATACATGGTCCGCTGACTCCACGGGACAGCATAATAAACGGTTGAGCTGGGAAAGATAAAGTCGCCACAGACCCAGATGGCTGCTCTCTCATTACATGGAAGCAACTGAGTGGTGGATTTAACCTGAGGGTCATCATACTTCAAGCAAGGGGCGAGGTTAAGAAGGCAGAAGTTTCATGGTAATGTCAGCCAATGAGGTAGCTGTTAGCATCACTCAATACCACAAACCAATTAACTGAGCTAACTGACTCTCACAGAGATAACTGGTTGTGGGTTTAACCTGAGCATCACCATGCCTTGGGTAAGGGGAAATGTTGAGCAAGGAACCTCATGGTAACCCCAGCAATTGCAGGCATTGATAGAATAAAGGGTTAACAATTCCTGAAGGAATAACTACTGAGCATGTACGAAGGAAACTTTGTCGTAGTGACATCAGATCACATGGAACTGGAGCCCAAGACTATAGGGTTCCAGAATATATCTCTCTTACCATCGCTTATATGCTGATATAGTCATGTTTAATAAGACCTGTTAATACTTACTCACATGAGTATAGATCTGATCCCACTAAATGGTGGCAACAGTGCTTGACTAGAGTCAAGTGGCACAAAGAACTTTAAGTGAAGCCTGGCAATGGCATATTGCAGTGGGCAAGGGACTTTAAGACCAACCCAAACATCAGACCAGTCTTAACAGCCAACACAGACAGCACTGTAGGAAACTTGATCTTGACATGCAAGAGCAATTAATTCTACCCTAGCATAACTAAAAACCTTCTAGATGATCCAGCAGCTCAGACAGTCAAAACAACACAGAGACAACAAGGTGCAGAGCTGGATGAACACAGCAGGCCAAGCAGCATCATAGGAGCAGAAAGGCTGACGTTTCGGGCCTGGACCTTTCATTTCTGATGAAGGGTCTAGGCCCGAAACGTCAGCCTTTCTGCTCCTATGATGCTGCTTGGCCTGCTGTGTTCATCCAGCTCTGCACCTTGTTGTCTCGGATTCTCCAGCATCTGCACTTCCTACTATCCCAGAACAACACAGAGTCACTTTAAAGGGTGCAGAATCATAACAGTACCATGACAGTAATGCAGAAAAGGCATAAAGCCGTAATTAGAAGCTTCCTGAAATGACACAAAGTAGGTCCATAAGCAGGAAGACAGCCTTGCCAGAATGCAGAATGCCGTGGTTATGTACGCTTTTCATTAGAGAATTTCATATTCCGAAAATACAAGGTAGCTGAATTTAAAAGCGACCCTCACACTCAATGTTTTTTCTTGGGTCATTAATAGACCAGGAGAGTCAATACAACATAATACAATACAATATATTTTTATTGTCACGTGAAATCCATCATAGGAGTACAGCGAAAAAGTTTTACAACATCTGCCTTCTTACGGCGACATCTTAGGTACAAGTACCTAGGTACAGTTCTTGGATACAGCAGAGGAATAGAAGTAGTTGCTTAATTACAGAGTTGAAAATAAGTTAAAATTAGGAAAATATTAAGGGATTAACATTACAGTGTTCTAAGGTAAGGATTGTCCTCTCACACCAGTCTCCGTCCAGGACTCACTGCCTGTGCGTTGCTCGGGGGCTGCTTCCCATGTGCTGCTGCGGGGCTTCTTCAATGGGCTTCTCCCAGGCTCACAGCCATCATGCTGCTCCAGGGCTCACTGCTCGCAGAGTCTGGGGCTCAAGGGGCATGCCTGCAGGCCGGAGATCACAAGGCCATGCTGCCCGTGATGGTTCTGCTGGGGGACTCGGCCCGTGCTCTCTTCTGTCCACCGCGGGAATCGGCCTGCTCACTCTGCAACTCTACTCACCGGGGGAGGGGTTGGGGTGTGCAGGGGGTTCGGGAGAAAAAGAGAAAACCAAGGTACTACGCCTGCATTGCAGAACAAGCGGCTCCAGAAAAGAAACTTCTCCCTGGAAACGTAAACAGATTTAGAATCCAAGCACTGCAGGTCACTTTGCAAGGATGTTCAAATGCTGGCGCACGTACAAATTGACTTATCTCAATTCCTTTCGCTTTCCTTGCCTTTCTACTTGGTCGTGCATTTTCTGGCGAAGCCTTCCATGCTTAGACAAGAGCAAATGTCACATGGTTTCAAACTGAATTGTGTGCAAAACAAAGGAAAGTGATGCATTAGATTATACTAAACTCCACTGTGCTTATTTAGATATGCACAAAGGCAGTTTCTAAACATATTGGTCAATATTGGAGTGCGAACATTGTTATGAACAGCTAACACACGCACTTTAAATTGGCCATCGGCTATGCTCATTTTTCTGTCAGCCTCAACTAGCTGAGGGTGTTTGGCCTACAACCTTCAGCTGTCCAACTGTATGGCTAGATTGAACAAGGTCAAAGGCTAGCTTCGGGCAGCATAACAACATAAAGACAAGGAAATTGTTAAAACACGGTTTATTATCTATGACCAGTAGGAGAGCCTGCATACTCTTAAACACTTGCTCAAAGTAAATATAGTGGTAAATTGGAAACTAGCAAATCAGTTTAAACAACAATTTCAAAAATTCTTTAAAAGGCTTGGGTAGTCTGAACACAACATATCACACACTGATGGCAGATGCTGAACATATCTGTTTGTTTACATCCTGGAAGGTTCCACATCCAGTTCAGGATAAGAGAGGAGATTGAGGCACTAAAAGGGTGTTATTTCAAAAGTCACACAGCCGGCTGCATGGTCCTCTGCGATGGTGCCTGTTCCTAAATGAAGTAGATCAGTGAGAATTTGTGTCAACTGACTACATTTAAACAAGATGGTATAGTGAGATAGAATTGGAAGTCAAGAGCATGTCTAAAACTTGCAAAGTGCGTAATCTTCACTGAGCTGAATGTGAACACCAACTTTCGCTGACTTCTCTTTGTTGATCACGGTTATAACACCATCTGACATAATTGTTTTAACTGTCTACCCTTCAGCATCACATCCAGAGATTTTCCAGAGGATGACATCTAACATGTTAGAAGACATTCTTATCCATGATTCACTAAAGCCCAACATGACAACAGAATAGGAAAGTTTTGAGAATATTACAGATTCTGGTTTCACCCTTAATGAGAAGTGTGAATTCTCAAAGTCAATGCTTACAATTTTGGGGCACATTGTTCAGGCAACAGGATGCTAGCAGCCATCACGCCACATCCACTGGCTGAAATATTACAGGACTCCAACAATATATGGGAATGGTTAACAAGTTGTGAAAATTCTAACCAAAAATTAGCCCAAGTTTATGAGTCTTATCAGGCAACATTTGAAGCAAGATCCAAAATAGTGTTGGACTGAGTGTCAACTGCAGTGTTTGACTGAATCAAAATCATTACCAATTTTGTCCAAGATCCTTGGACATTATGATCCTGACCTTTCAAGTACAATAGCAGTGGATACATCATCCATAGCTTTAAAATATATATTAAAAGCAAGGGAGTAGCCAGGGAAAGGGTTGGCTCGCTCAAAAACAAAGGAGGGAATCTATGTGTGAAGCCAGAACAGGTAAGTGAGGTCCTGAATAAATACTTTGTTTCGGTATTCACCAAAGAGAAGGAATTGGTGGAGGATGATTTCAGGGAAGGAAGTGTCGAGTTTCTAAACTAAGTTGCTGTTAAAAAGGAAGAGGTGTTACGCATCTTAAAAAGTATTAAGGTAGATAAGACCCCAGGTCCTTATGGGATCTACCCCAGAATATTGAGGGAGGCAAGAGAATAAATTGCTGGAGCATTGACAGACATCTTTGTATCCACTTTGGTCACAGGTGAGGTCCCAGAAGACTGGAGAATAGCCAATGTTGTCCCATTGTTTAAGAAGGGTAACAGGGATAATCCTGGAAATTACAGACCTGTGAGTCTCACATGGTGGTAGGGAAATTATTGTAAAAGATTCACAGGGACAAGATCTATACACATTTAGAAGCAAATGGACTTATTAGCAATAGACAGCATGGTTTTGTGTGGGGGAGGTCATGCCTTACTAACTTGATTGAGTATTTTGAGGAGGTGATGAAGATGATTGATGAGGGAAAAACGGTTGATGTCCACATGGACTTCAGTAAAGCCTTTGACAAGGTCCCTCATGGCAGAGAGGTACAAAAGGGGAAGTCACGTGGTGTCAAGGTTGAGCTGGCAAAATGAATGCAGAACTGGCTTAATCATAGGAGACAGAGGGTAGTGATGGAAGGATGCATTTTTGAATAGGGGTTGTGATTAGTGGTGTTCTACAAGGATCAGTGCTGGGACCTCTGCTGTTCATTATTTACAGAAAAGATTTGGAGGAAAACGTGGCTGATATAATTAGTAAGTTTGAGGACGATACAAAGATTGGTGGAGTTGCAGATAATGAGGAGGATTGTCAGAGGATACAGCAGGATATAGATCAGTGGGAGGCATGGGCAGAAAAATGGCAGATGGAGTTTAATCTGGACAAATGTGAGGTGATGCAATTTGAAAGGTCAGGTACAGGTAGAAATTATCCAGTGAATGGCAGAACCTTTAGGAATATTGATATGCATAGGGATCCTGGTGAGCAGGTCCATAGATCATTGAAGATGGTAGCATAAGTAGATAAGGTAGTAAAAAATGCCTGTGGCGTGTTTGCCTTCATTGGAAGGGGCATTGGGTATAAGGATCGACAAGTTATGCTGCAGCTTTATAGAACTTTAGTTAGGCCACGCTTGGAATATTGCATATAATTCTGGTCACCGTACTACCAGAAGGATGTGGAACCTTTGGAGAAGGTATTGAAAAGGTTTACCAGGATGTTGCCTGACATGCGGGATTTTAGCAATGAAGGAAGGTTGGAAAAACTGGGTTTGTTTTCACTGGAATGCAGGAGGTTGAGGGGTGACCCAGTAGAAGTTTATAAGATTTTGAATGGCATGGATAGAGTGGAAAATATGAGGCTTTTTCCCAGGATGGAGGGGTCAATTACTAAGGGACACAGGTTGAAGATGTGAGGGGGGAAGTTTAACAGAGATATGCAAGGCAAGTTTTTCACAATGTGTTGGTGCAGGCTTGGAGGGCCGAAGGGACTGTTCCTGTGCTGTACTTTTCTTTGTTCTTTGTACAGCTGTTTTCAGGGAGCAATCTTATATCTGATCCAATGTGATGGCATCAGGTAGGCCACTGTGTTTCCAAAGCTCTTACTGACTCAGATAACACAATACATATTAATGTTCTCTTATCTGAGAGTAGACCTGATCTTTTGCAGACAATACATTCAAACCAGCGAGCCATCTAGAAGGATATGGCCAGCAAATGCGGAATACGATCTGCATGTTTCTGTCTAAGCCATTGTACCATCCTGACCTGGTACCATCGAGACCTGGAACTGTGTCGCCAGTGTTTCACCGTTATTGGATCTAAAACCTGAACTTCTCCTTAGTAACAATTGGGCATATTTACAGCAAATGGACTGCAGTGGTTCAAGAAGGCAGCTCATCATTGCCTTTTCAAAGACAGTTAGGGACGACAAAGCATGTTGGCATTGCCAGCAATAGCACTCACTTCCCAAGAATGAATAAAAGTCAAATGTACTGAAATGTAGATCCTAATGTTAAAAAATCAACTTTTCTGTAACATGATCTTCAAATTTTATTGGAAGTTCCCAGAGATTTAAAATGATATTCATGAATTTAATTTTAACTGGTCAAGCTGTAAATGTTGCACCTTTTGGGTATAAGGTTTAAGTAATCCAGATTATACGTGAGTAGGAGAAAAACTGCACTTTTGTCAGTTAAATAAGCCATCTAGCTCTTTAAACATATTCTCCCATTCAATATGATCAAGGCTGATCTGTTTGTGTCACAAATACCCCATGTCCATCAACCTCCACACACACCCACCCCCCCCCCCCCCAAAATCTGAAACAATAACAGAAATTGCTGGTGAGACTCAGCACGTCTGGCAGCATCTGTGGAGAGAAAACACAGTTAACCTTTCAGGTCGACTGACCCTTCTTTGGAACTGAACCTAACTACCTCTGATTTAAAAGTATTGTGACCCCACCTGCACTGTCTTTTCAGGCAGAGAGTTCCAAAGGCATACAACCCTTTTGAGAGAAAATAAAATGCTCTCTTTTCTGTTCTGAAAGGGTGACCCAGAATTTTATAATGGTGTCTCCTATTTCTGGACTGACTCACAAGAGGAAACATCCTTTCTGCGTTCTCCTTGCCAAGAGTATTCAGGATCTTGTTCAGTTGGCTGGATGGCTGGTTTATGCTGCAGAGTGACACCAACAACATGTGTTCAATTCCTGCTGATGTTAAAATGAAGGACTCTCCTCCTCAAACCCTCACCTCACCTGAGGCCTGATATCCTTCAAGTTAAACCCACCACCAGTCACCTCTCTCTGTCTCTTAATAGGAAAAGAGTCCTATTCTCTGGTAAGACTATAATGTGGAGGTGCCTGTGTTGGACTGGGGTGGACAAGGTCAGACGTCAGACGACACCAGGTTATAGTCCAACAGGTTTATTTGAAATCGGAGCTGTTGGACCATTGCCAGTTCACCTGACAAAGGGGCAATGCTCCGAAAGCGTGTGCTTTCAAATAAACCTATTGGACTATAACCTAGTGTCGTCTGACTTCTGACCTGGTAAGACTATGGCAACTTTATACTTTAATCAAGTCACTCTACAATCTTTTAAACTTAAGTCAAAACATGCCCAGCATTCCAGCTATCAATCTTATAAACCTCTTCTGAATCACTTCCAGTGGATTTACATTTTTCCTTCAATAAGGAGTCCAAAGACACTAACAAATCAATTTTAGGCAATGGTGGAGACTTTTTATTGTGAATATTGAATGTGTGTGTCACTTTTTTGATGAGTCACTTGAAAAGCGATTTAATTGCAAGTTATTTGAAGCATTTTTTTTTCATAGGAGAAGCTCTGTGAAAAAGAGGCTGAGCGTGAAAAACTGAAAGAACGACTGATTGAACTTGAAAAAGAACTCCGAATTACACGAGAAGACTGTAGCCTACTGCATTCTAAATTCAAGGTAACCATTGCATCTTGTATCATAAAGAAAATCGCATCCTTGCTGCTCATTAAATCCTGCTTTTTTTTTAAATAGATGTAAGTACACCTTGTCATTTTTCATTTGGTCTGAGATTGATTGGATAATGGTTGCTGGAATCACTAAAGATTACATAAGAAATACAGCACAGAATCAGGTCATTCAGGCGAATCAGTCTATTAATGCTCCTCTTGAACCATCTCCTTTCTTCATCCAACAATATCTCCATAACTTGGTATCCCTTCCAGATCATGCTCTTATCTAGCCTGTTCTTAAATTATCTGTGATTTTCACTTCAACCACACCCTGTAGTATTCTCAACACTTTAGGCAAAAAAAAATCTTCTTATGAATTTCTTTTTTAGTTTCTTAGTCACAGTATGAATTTAATGGCCTCTTCACCTTTGCAATAATCCATTCTCAGTATTTTATCAAAACCTTACACTCTTTTAAACAGTTGTATCAGGCTTCTCTTTTTAACAGAAAATGTTCCCAGAATATTTGCAGCTCAGAAAGAGGCCATTTGTCTGCACTGGCTATCTGAGTGAGCGATTCAGTTGGTGCCATTTCCCCTGCTTTCTCCCTGTAATAACCCTGCACACCCCTCCTTTCAGATAACAGTCAAATTCCCATTTGAATATTTCAATTGAACCTCCCAACACCAACTCCCAAAATCTCAGGCGGTGAATTCCACAACATAACTATTTGCTGTGTGAATGTTGTTTTTGTCATTTTTGCTTCTTTTTATCAATTACTTAGAATCTATATCCTCTCATTCTTGATCCTTTCACAAGTGGGAAATAGTTTTTCCATGACCACACTGTCTGGATTCCTCCTTGATTTTGAAAAGCTCCATCATATCTCCTCTTAGTTTTACCTTCTCTAAGACAGACCTGACTTTTCCAAAATATGGAACCATTCTCATCAATCTATATTGGGCTCTGTCCAGTGCCTTCACATCTTTCCCCAAATGTGTGGATGCAGGAACTGTACTCAATACTCCAATTGAGGCTGCATTAGTGTCTTATACAAGTTTAGTGTAACTTCTTTGCTCTAGTACACCATTAATGACCCTATTAATAAAGCCAAGGATACCAAACGATTTATGAACTGCTGTCTCACCTGGTCTTGCCACCTTCAATGAAAAAGGCACATATCAAACCAAATCTCTCTATCCTACACACTCATTAGAATTGTATCCTTTATGTTGTTTGCCCATGTTCTTCTTACCAATATGAATCATTTAACAGAAAAGGGGTGCAGCTGGTTATTCCTATCCAGATAGGCTCACCCCACTCCCATCGCCTCCCCACATTTCTGGTATCACCCTTGTGAACACTTTTCTTTCACTTTCTCCATTGCTGTGTATTATTTTCATAAAATGTGCTAATTAGAATTGTACATACTACTCCAGGTGGGATGTGATCAAGATTGAATACAGAGCTTGCAAAGTTTCTGTACTTCTCATTTCACTGAAGCTGTCTACTTTTCCCTGCTGAAAGTCTGGGACTACCATTTGAATGTTAGCAAACAGAGCTGAGAGGAGGAGGTTTTATTATGGTGGAATCTCTGTCATCTTTTTGTCCTTGCCCAATCTCTTTTTCCCCTTTTCCTTTAGCTCACTTAAGTGTACGCCGCTGATAATTGTGATTCCTTCCCACCTTGCCTTCATATGAATTAAAAAACAAGTCACTAATCAGTTTTTGTGGTCACATACAAGCCAGGGAAACATACAGCCCAACCCCTATGTCAGTTGTTGTGCCTCAGTAGTAACGTTTCTTCCTCTGGGGCAGAAGCTCTAGATTTAAGTCTCACGTAACAACTTAATGTCTTGTGTTATAATGTGGATAACAAGATTGGTGATCATTCTGTAAATCCATCCAATAAACCTATGGCAAGTAGTCAGACTAGGAGAGTTTCCTGGTCAGCCTGGGTCAGGTGGTAGCTGTAGACCAATAGTTGCCCCACGTTAAAAGACCATATGGGTTATTGCCATGAGTGGGCATCATCCTTTTTCCAGGGAACTATTTCACACCATTTTACGTAATAAATTCCAGTTTGTCTGCGGGGACCTCAAAAAACATATGTTAGGGCCCTCATTCACATGTCCACAAGGACTAATTCCTGTTTTAGGGTGGCCACCAACAAAATGTTTCAGTTTGAGTGATTTTGAGTTGCAGAACACTGGTCCTTGAAATTGTGCAGGTTTTTTGAGTTAATTTTATATCAGTGAAATAGATCTAACAGGGTCCACTTTATATCCCCATGCTGCAGTGATGTAAACATTCTTATCTTTTGTTACATACAAAACAATTTAAGCTTGGAATTGCTGGAGAAGCTTTTCTCTTTTGAACCATTAGGACTCTCATTTGTCAAGCTGTTCTTTGTTGTGTACAGATTAAGGCAACTTTGCCTGAAAAGAATATTAGGTTCACCAAACTCGAAGAAAGTGTGCCCACAGCTCAAGAGGGAGAGGACTTCTTGAAGATCAAGTGCTGCTATGTCGTCTCACCTGAAGTGTCACTGGCTCTTCAGAATGGACAGGCCTTAATCACTTTTGAAAATGAGCAAGGTAATTCAACCACCCTTAATATAAGACCAGAAGATTCTGGGAATCCTCGATTGTACTCTCTCTGTATGCCAAAATGACATTCTCACTCAAAAAGGTTATGGGCCTCATTTTATTTAGAAGAGTGTAAATCATTTTATAATGGGCTTGCTGCACTGGAGAAAAGGTGACGCAGTATTAATGCCACTGGCTAAGTAATCTAGAGGGCTGGGGTTCAAAACCCACCATGACAGTTGGTGGCATTTAAGTTCCATGAATTGATAAATCTGGAGTAAGAAGCAACTCTTCAGTAAAGATGAGTGTGAAATTGTTAGGATTATCAAAGCCTATCTGGTTTACTAATGTCTTTATAGAAGGAAATCTGATGTCCAACACTCGTCTATTCTTTATATGACACCAGACACACAGCAATGTGGTTGACTCTTAAATGCCCTTTAACATAGCCTAGTGAGCCACACAGTTCAAGGGCAATTAGGGATGGGCAACAAATGCTGGCCATGCCTAGCTCAGTAGGCTGGATGGCTGGTTTGTGATGCAGAGTGATACCAACAGATTGGATTCAAGTCCTACACTGCCTGATGTTACCATGAAGGTCCCACCTTCTCAACCTCTTGCCCTCCTTTGAGGCATGGTGACTGTTAGGTCAAACGCAACCCCAGTTATCTCTCTCTGATGAGAAAGCAGCCCTGTGGTCCTCTGGGGCTATGTTATAGGTCTCTGTCCTTATCTCTTCACTCCAGCTGCTCAAATGACATCTTCCTACTTAATTCCCTCTAATTGTGTTTTTTAATCTCTTACTTAAAGTTGCTAGTAAAATTCTGAGGGTAGCCAAGCATCACATAAACCTGGATCCTGGGAAACTAGATGTGAAGATTCATCCTGTCAAACTGGGCACAGCAAGGAAGTTTGAGGTAAATACAAGGAAAGCAATGTCAGAGTATCATAGCATGTGTTGTAATGATCGATTCTCAGGATTTTGGGTCTTCGTATGATTTCTTAAAACCTGAACTTCTCTCTATCATCTATTTTTAAGGCGAGCACATATATAATGAACAAACTCAATTACTTCTGACACACATTCATTGATTTTTTGTGCATTAAGAGCGAGGCCAGTTACTTTATCCACTCCTTGACTCAAGTTTAACTTAAAATACTTTTATAATTCTTTCAGGTACATGTTGACATCTCCAGGAAGACAGTTAAAGTTTCTCAAATTCCAGAGATCCTTCCGGAAGAACAGATGAGAGACAAGTTGGAAATTAGCTTCTCAAAGCCCAGTTTAGGTGGAGGGGAGGTGGAGCATATAAATTACGATCGTTTTTCTGGAACTGCTGTGGTCACCTTTGTTGAAAAAGGAAGTAAGTGAAATATTTTCACTTTCACTACAGCTGTCGATTAGATACATGAGAGAGAAAGGGCGATGTGGAGTTGCAAACTGAAGCAACACAAATTGCCTTTATTGGGAATAAATAAAGGGAAAGGTAAAGAGAGACACAGAGCATATCTTCAATATAGAATTACTTGCCAAGGTATGAAGTCACATGCTGCAATACAAATGTAGAAAATAGGAGCAGGAGTAGGCCATTCAGCCCTTCAAACCTGCTCAGCCGATCCATATCATAGCTGATCGTCCAACTCAGTACCTTGTTCCCACTTTCTCCACAAACTTTTGTTTCCTTTAGCCATAATAACAATATCTAACTCATTGAAAACATTCAATGTTTTGGCTTCAGCCACTTTCTGTGACAAGCTTACCTCTCTCTGGGTGAAGAAATCTCTCTTCATGAATCCTAAATAGTCTATCCTATATTCTTAAACTGTGACCCCTAGTTCTGGACTCCCCGGTCATCAGGAGCAACCTTCCAGCATTTACCCTGTCTAGTCCCTGTTAGAATTTTAAAGGTTTCTATGAGATCCTTCCTCATCCTTCTAAAGTCCGGTGAATATAGTCCTAACTGAATCTGTCTCTCTTCATTTGTTATTCCTGCCATCGCAGGATAATGGATTATTGATCACACATCACAATAAATCTCAATTGATTAATTTACAACACACCCAGAAATGACTCAAGGAAAATCTGAATAGTGGGGGACTTTGGAAACCACAGCTTTAAAGTCACCTCTTCCTTCCAAAAATGCTACGTTTACTACATGGATTGTCTTAAATTATTTTTATACTGTATACCAGAATGTCATATCTATTTAATTTGCTTCTGAAATGAATTAACGTCTTCTCTGAACATCTCCCTAGAGAATCTGCTTCGTAGTTTGACTACACACTCGACAATGGACACAGATTTGATTCACTGAAAATCCACTCATTTAGAATTAAATTGAAACTACTGTGACAATGTGTTTGTTCAGACACAGACAATATACTCTGGTTCTGCAGTTTCCAGACAAGTTAAAATAGTCTACTATAATCTGTACCATTTAATCCGTCCGAAATCTTATTTCGTTAAAAACAGCAATCATGCTATCTCTCAACCTCTTTATCATGTCTGATTTAAACATTTCTGATCACATGCTTCCCAGTACTAGTGTTAACTGGACAGATCAATGATGATTAAAAAGGGGGTCTTAGTTATGTTCTTCCCAATTCCATGCCCATTGGCCTATATTTGGTGAACAATTCAAAAGTAACATTCGTGAGTGGGCCCAGCGAATCACAGGATAGTCCTCATGCGCTAAACTGTAACTGTGTTAACAAAAATGATGTGAAGGACAGTGCTCCCCACCACAAGCTTTGATTTGGGTCCATTAGTAACACGGCGAGGATCTTCCCTTCCTGGAAACAGCTGGGAAGGTGGAAAATATTTGGGTAGGTTGGCACCAGGGAGTTGTGGCATTTCTATCAACCCAGGAATTAACTTCTCACCATTCATTGCAACACTTAAGTGGTCGATTAATGACCATCTAGGGGACTGTTCACACCATACACACAAGGTTGGCACAGTGGCTCAGTGGTTAGCACTGTTGCCTCACAGTGCCAAGGACCCAGGTTCAGTTCCAGCCTTGGGTGACTGTGCAGAGTTTGTACATTCTCCCTGTATCTGTATGGGTTTCTTCTGGGTGCTCTAGTTTCTTACCACAGTCCAAGGATGTACATCAGAGATAGTAAGAACTGCTGATGCTGGAGTCAGAGATAACACAGTGTGGAGCTGGAGGAACACAGCAGGCCAGGCAGCATTAGAGGAGCAGGAAAGCAGACACTTTGGGTCGGGAGGGGGGGTGGGGGAAGGGGGCTCTGAAATAAATAAATAGAGAGAGGAAGATTGAGGCTGGGGAAGGACCTACCTACCTTCCCCAGCCCCACCCCTCCTCTCTATTTATTTCAGAGCCCCCTTCCCCATTTCTGAAGAAGGGTCTTGACCCAAAACATCAGCTTTCCTGCTCCTCTGATGCTGCCCGGCCTGCTGTGGTCCTCCAGCTCCACACTGTGTTATCAAGGATGTGCATGCTTGGTGGGTTGGCCAAGGGGAAATTGTCCTGGAGGTGGGTTAGCCATGGTAGTTGCAGGATTATGGGGATAAGGGGGGAGTGCTCTTCAGAGGGTCAGTGTAGACTTGATGGGCTGAATGTCCTTTATCTGCCGTGTCTGGGCAAGAGAGATCACTGGTAGTCTTTTTGGTTGATGCAGATTATCTGCCAGGTTTGAGAATGGATGTGAGTATGGTGAGGAGGGTTCTCATAATTTGCCCCAATCTGAGGATGATTTGAGGCGTGATTGGAGGTGTGATAGGGCCATTGAAAACCACTTCTCTGTCCTTGTTTCTGAGTCCCCTAAACCCCCTCCCCCTGCAAATCCCCCTCTCCTCTGAAAAGTCACCTACCTTACCCACTTCTCCTGGAATTCTGAGTTGTTGTGCCAACAGTAGCCTCGGTCTCCAAAGTGGCACAAAGGCTGAGAGTAGCTGCTGGCTTCACATTGGCTAACAAACAGAGCAGAACATCGCTGTTTCAGAAAGTGATGTCAGCAAAAACCGACCTAGTAGTGAAGAAACATACCAAGGATGCCGGACATCTGAAGTAAAAATAGGAAATTGCTGGAAAAGCAGCAAATATAGACAGACAAGATTTTATAAACTTGATACTTACAGTGTATAGTAAGGCCAGAAGAACTGCAGAGTCCAGCAAGGCTGGAGACGAGAAGGTCCTCAAGCTTAAAGCAGGAAATCGCTTTGCCTTCTTGAATTTATTTCATGCCTGCCAACCAGCCAAACTGAAATTCAGTGACAGGAGACTATGTCTTGGGAGCCATGTCGGTACTCATAGAAACAGAGAAGGATTTACAATACAGAGCCCATTGTGTCTGTGCTGATCGCTGGCAATCAGATGGAGGAAGCTCAGTGATGTTCCCTACACCACTGGCATTTTACCAGTGGCACACGAGGTGACATGGATTGCTGCAGCTTACAAGCCAAGTGAGGCCCTTAAGTAGCCAATCCCTTAATGTCATCTTCCCACTGCTGTTATTCTACAAGCAGTGGGGTACACCCTGCAGCACAGAGGGTAAATGCTGACAGCATCCTTCTGGAGCAGGGGAAGTTAGAGTCATAGAGTCATACAGCACGGAAACAGACATTTCGGTCCAACCAGTCCATGCCGAACATAATCCTAAACTAAACTAGTCCCACCTGCCTGCTCCTGGCCCAGATTCCTCCAAACCTTTCCTATTCATATATCCATTCAAATGTCTTTTAAACATTGTAATTGTACCCACATCCGTCACTACATCAGGAAGTTCATTCCACATATGAACTACCCTCTTTGAAAAAAATTGCCACTTAATGTCTTTTTAAAATTCTCTCATGTCACCTTAACAATATGCCCCCTAGTCTTGAAGTTCCCATCTTAGGGAAAAGACAAGTAACATCAACTCTATCTATACCTCTCATTATTTTATAAACTTCTGTCATCACCTCTCAACCTCCTAAGCTCCAGTGAAAAAAGTCCCAGCCTGTCCGGCCTTTCCTCCATACCCGGCAACATTCTGGTAAATCTCTTCTGAACCCCCTCCAGCTCAATAATATCCTTCCTATAACTGGGCAACCAGAACTGGACATAGTATTCCAGAAGAGGCCTCGCTGATGTCCTGTACAACCTTAGCATAACATCCCAATTCCTATACTTAAAGGACTGAGCAATGAAGGCAAGTGTGCTAAACACCTTTTTAACCATCCTGTCTATACTTGATGTAAACTTTAAAGAATTATGTACCTGCACCCTTAGGTCCCTCTGTTCCACAACACTACCCAAGGCCCTATCATTAATTGTATAAGCCCTACCCTTGTTCGTTGTACCAAAATGCAAACCTCGCATTTATCCAGATTGAACTCCATCTGCCATTTTTCAGCCCATTGACCCATTTGATCAAGATCCCTTTGTAATCTTAGAAAACCTTCTTCACTGTCTACAATGCCACCAATTTTGGTGTCATCTGCAAACTTACTAACTGCGCCTTGTATATTCTCACCCAAAACATTTATATAAATGACAAACAAAAGAGGACCCAGAACTGATCCCGGCGGAACATCGCTGGTCAGAAGCCTCCAGTCCAAAAAGCAACCCTCCACCATTACTGAGATAACAAGGTATGGAGCTGGATGAACACAGCAGGCCAAGCAGCATCAGAGGAGCAGGAAGGCTGACGTTACGGGCCTAGACCCTTCTTCAGAAACGGGGGAGAGGAAGGGGGTTCTGAAATAAAAAGGGAGAGGGGGGAGGCGGATAGAAGATGGATAGAGGAGAAGATAGGTGGAGAGGAGACAGACCGGTCAAAGAGGCGGGAATGGAGCCAGTAAAGGTGAGTGTAGGTGGGGAGGTAGGGAGGAGATAGGTCAGTCCAGGGAGGACGGACAGGTCAAGGGGGCGGAATGAGGTTAGTAGGTAGGAGATGGGGGTGGGGCTTGAGGTGGGAGGAGGGGATAGGTGGGAGGAAGGACAGGTTAGGGAGGCGGGGATGAACTGGGCTGGTTTTGGGATGCAGTAGGGGGACGGGAGATTTTGAAGCTTGTGAAATCCACATTGATACCATTGGGCTGCAAGGTTCTCAAGCGGAATATGAGTTGCTGTTCCTGCAACCTTCGGGTAGCATTGTTGTGGCACTGCAGGAGGCCCAGGATGGACATGTTGTCTGCGGAATGGGAGGAGGAGTTGAAATGGTTCGTGACTGGGAGGTGCAGTTGTTTAGTGCGAACCGAGCGTAGGTGTTCTGCAAAGCGGTCCCCAAGCCTCCGCTTGGTTTCCCCGATGTAGAGGAG